GAGGCGATGTCTAAAAGCTCACATTGTCGTTGCGACGAGTGATCCGTTTTCGGTGGCTGGTTTCCCTGATTTCTTGAAAGACAACAAACAAACAAAACAATATAAAAATAAAATGGTTGTCTTCTTCTTCTTGAATTAAAATGGTTGTACCATACAGAATTTACTGCTCCGTACTCTTCTAGTGTTATGGTTGAGAAATATTAGTTTTCTTAATAAAACCAGCAACCATTTGCTTGGAAAGGCTTGAAGCAATTTTGAAACACACTGCTGTTTACTTTCGGGCCCTTACATATGAATTCATGATTCATCATTTATCACGTTTATGGCGTATTTCGAAACACCGTAATGGTACACTTTTAACATTTCTCTCTACCAATCGACACTAGCTTTTTTGGAACGATTGACATATTGTGTGAAATCCAAAGAGGAAAAAATGTTTCTACAATGAAATATTGAATGTCCATARCTATCTCACCATAGGTCACATGACGAACTTGCAATATCACAATAGTTTACGGAACAGTAACGGCTTGGAGTGATCGGCRATCTCGATTGGATTCACCATACTGTCAATAAACACTGATTTTTTAAGGAACTTTATCGCCCAAAATGGAATTAAGTTCATCGATGCAATGTTGCTGAGATATTCCACGCCAAAATTTAATTATACTCGTATGTATTTTTTGGCCGAGATGAATATTTTATGTTACTGTAAGCAACACAAMCAGCGCTCRTTTGCTATAACATTTTGAGTAYGTATAACATCAAAAATRTCGAACTTTGCGATACAGTCGTGAATAGCAGATTGCGAAACTTTGTTCGCTAAATCCTGAAATTTAAAAAGCAAGCTACATAGATCTTCAATACCATACATTTTAGCAGTTTTGAGCCCTTCATTTGTGCTTATGAGGCTCTACAGAGTCTATGAAAGTATATTTAAGAGGCCCATTAAATTTGGCACATCATCACTTCTTAGACACGTTTATAAAATGCTTAAAATATTACTATTACAAGAGTCTCACTGTAGAGTTAAATSTCATATTAAAGAACAAAAATGTTATAATTCATCGAAATTGTGCCATAATTGTGAAACCTTTTTGCCATATTTACAACTCATTAACACAAATWCCCAGTGCAGCCAAAGAGTGGCCATTGGGCAACCGGTGAATTGAAAATTAAAAATTTTATGCATTCCATTCGAATGATGAGTACTTTCATTGAACCGTATAAGTTACAGGCTCTTGACTCTGAAGTGTTCGCTGTAATTCACACTGTTGTTAATGTTTGAAAAGCCCACATATGTAGCCATATGTAGGTGTATAACCCAGTATATTTGCTCTGAAAATATACTAGTCCGGTAATGTCTACATCTACACCAGTTTTTAAATGATCCGATTTCAGTTCAACGACATGCAATTATGTACTGAAATAAAAAGCGCTTTGATTGGATTTTTATTGGTGGATTATATTTTCAAAACAGAATATTAAATTGATTGTTTTTATCCATAAATAATGTGAACTAGTATTTCTCTTCGATGAAAACAAGGAAGACTTGTTCAAAATAAAGATAAAAAAATTACCTAAAAATAACAATTGTTAAATACATGTAATGTGTTTATTTCTAACTACTATAATTCCGACATCTGACATTTACAGCTCATAAACCATCACCACATAAAAATACCACTTATCCGTTTCCATGAGAGTCGAGCCCCCAAAACTGGATTTGTATCCCTCCAAGCACTATCAACTCAGCAGTATTCCACAAAATYAGTTTAGGGAATGTGAAAGTGAAAGTCAGCGGACTATTACGCTTGAGGTTTGTACTAGTTGTAACTTAACCTGCAAYTGTTTAGTTTTACTGCGAAAATTATGGACGCATTAAATGTGGTCAGCTCTGAGCTGAAAAGTTGAAATTATAATGCACCTTTGCTCTGCTCTTGGATTGCAGTTTCAATTAATTTTAATTAGTTCTCTTTTACACTCACGAGTTTTTACAACTTTTGCATTACAGCAGTAAGCACTTCTAGGACTGGAATGAGTGTGTATAAATGGCACTCAATAGTGCTGGGGGCAAAGATTTCAAAGTTTCCAGTTCAGCGTAATTGTGAATCCTTAGAGCGCAAAATGCGAAAGCTTGCGCCAGGTCGAACATCTTGGAACTGAGAACAACTACTCAACACTAAAGTTGAGTGCTACCTTTTTGATGAGAGTTCACACTACAAAAGTTTTTAGATTGTAAAAAGTTATTAAAACAAGATAATAACGATTATATTCTCACCTGTCAGAGCTTTTTATGTTTTTTTATACAAGTAATTTGTAGAATGGTTAAATATAGACGAGTATTGTGATTTTGATGAAGATTCTTTATACAGCCGAGCTATTATCAATAATGCATGTGATACCTCAATTAAGCTTTAAAAAAATGTCATGAACAGATAACGATAATGGTAACGATAGATAAAGTCACCACCTGGCACATAATTTGTTACAAGAGGATGTGATAAACTTTATTATAGTTTTAATTACTTGAATCTATTTACCAGTACAATAAGGAAATAAATACGGAAAATAACAATGGGACAATCAGGTGTGCTCTACTGAATATTCACAGAATCAAAATATGTAGATCTGTAGAACAGTATCCCAATATCTGTAGATGACACCTCAAGTATGCTGCGTTATCACTTAAAGTACTTTTACATTTGCGGCTTCCTTCAGTTTTATTGATTTGTAACTTATTTAAACTTATCCGCTCTTATCCGGATATATCCGAACTTATCCGTTTTTATCCTGAAAGGTTGAATCTATCATATCTAGTCAAATAATCATAATGCCGCGCTATTCCATCCCAAAAAGCCTTCTCCACTCTCTAGAACAGTACTCCAATATCTTCTGACCAYACCTCACAYATATAGTCCTTTTACTTTTATKACATCCTCCAGTTTTATCGACTTTYAACTTATTTCAGTTTATCSGCTCTTATCCSAAYTTATCCGTTTTTATCCTTAGTGGTTTAAGCTATCATGTCAAGTCTTATAATCATTATACCGCGCTGTTTTATCACAAATAGCCTTATCCACCCTTTATTGCCCCTAAAAATACTTCACCAAAATTCTTAATTTGGAAATAAGGCTGTCAAAAGAAGTGACTGTGTTCATCAGAAATTAATGTACTAACCTTTTTTAAAGTTATAAAAATATTTTAATTTTTTATATTTGAAAATATCTTGTCACTTGAGCCATTCACAATAGTAGATCCGGTCAAAAACACACAAAACGAACTTGTTAGCTCTGAAGATGTCGGTTATGATCATACTCTCCTGTACGAACTCAGCTCGGTAACTCGTCTTTGGTATTGCTTTACAAGTACTTTTCACAAATATATGCAGAGTAATAAATTTTGGAAGCTTTATAAAAGCACGTCAAGCATTAGCAGTATGCAAAGGTAGAAGGCAATGGCATGACTCAATTCATCTCAATGTCATTACTCAAAACACACACGATTATATCATAATTGAAATAAYAATAATAATAATGTAAATTGCACRAGACTGCTAACGCCGTGTAACAGCGCTGACAGTTTGATTAAGTAGCTGTGCGTCCTTTAAATTTGAGAAAACACAAATAAAACGAATATTAATTACTTCGCACATGTAAGCGCAAACTCGCACTGAAGCTTACTCACGGTATCAATGGAGAATATAATACATATGTTGCATATTTTTCATCTTAATTTTCACACGGGTGTACTTTGGGGTTTCACAATCAAGTGTTTTCGAGTTGAAATATTAAAATTTCAGAGTGGCAAAGCGCTTAAGAGTGCTGCGTATTTACAAATGAAATGCTGCTCTGCCACTWAGGAATTTGCAGCAGGGGCTGTTTTGCGCGCTAACGTGCAACAATGATACTGCAACACTGTTAGTTTAATTCATTGCCTGATGTAAGCGCATTTTGTAAAGGTAGCATTCGTACTAAGCGTGTTTCGCTTAGATACATACACACACACACACACACATTTGCATATGTCTACCATTTTGAGTTCTATACACGCTTGTTGCAAGTAATTAATGTTGCGAGTGTGGCTGACAGCGTGTTGGCGCGCCCGTACCCCAAAACCGTTGCATTTCACTTTTATGCATACGCATGGGAGGGTGCACAATTTGTAATTTWCTAACACACGCACACACATATACTCATATGCTACATTTAAATTTATATTTACTTTATCCAGTATTTGTTCGCGGTAAATTTGGTTAAGTTATGGAAGCTGTAGYTAGTCTTTTTCCGGAAGAGCGTTGCGTGTTGCATAAACGTACGTATGTRTGAGTGTGCTGCGCAAGCACATTTAACTTACTGCACTTACATATGTATGTTCGTGTGTGTGTTTGGTTGCGTGTATGCTTTTTTGAATTTTATTATTTTAATATTTTTGCTGACTAATATATTTGTTTGTATCCAAGTGATTCTGCGCATATATGCAGCGTTATTATTGAATAAAACTACGTTACACACAGACACACATACACTCTCTCAACATTATAGCGTAGTAATGCATGTGTATTTGAAAGTAGTCGGTAGTTAAAAAGTAGTATTATTATTGTATATAAAATTATCTATTTTTGAGTTTTTAAGTACCTACTTACTGTGGCGGTGGCGTTGTTGTAACAACATATGAATTTCCATTGCGTACAGACAATTTTAAAACTAACAGCAGCATACAAGTATAAACAACATTGGCTCGTTGTATAGTCTAAGTTGGCGCGATAAGTACCGCGGCTTATTGCCACGAAACGCTGGATATTGCATTTGAAAATTATTAATTCCACAAATATGTGTCCATTATATACCCTGTGTATATATGTATGCTCATAAATTATGCACTAAGCTTTGTACTGTGTGAAAAAACTAATGTTTACATACATTCACCCCCCAACCCTACATGCATTTCCAACGTAACATGCGTACGCTCCCCCGCCACTCTTTTGCTACCACGTTTAGTTCTCGTGCTGGTGTTCGTTGTTTATAATCGGCGTCGTGAGGCGCATATTAAATATCCTGGCCCGGATGATGACGTGCGAGAGAATATTATCAACTATGATGACGAGGGTGGCGGCGAGGACGACATGACTGCATTCGATATTACACCGCTGCAAATACCAATCGGCGGGCCAATGCCACCCGAGCTGGCGGCCATGAAAATGCCAATAATGTGTAAGTACAAATAACTGTAATAATTTACCGTTTATTTTAGCAAATCGTAATTTTTAATCCATAAGTGGCAAATGAATGAGCTTTTMCATAGCTGTGCAGGGGCGGCTACGCGCGTAATGGATATTGATTATGAGCCATTTYGCCGCAAATACTGAAATACTGTTGAGCACATATTTGCTATTTATGTACATATTTACAAAAGTTAGTGCAAACATTAATTATGAAGCTTAAAGCATATTTTTAACTTTGAATGGGATTTTTCGAGAATTAAAGGCAGCAGTTCTGATTGTAAAATACCATTTTATGATAGRAGCTTATAGTCTGTTGTTAATTAATGTTGTATTCGAGGGTACCAAATTAAAGCAGTTACCCATAATTCCAATGCAATCATGTTAATTAGTAGAAAATACATACAAAATAAAAAATTTTTGTTTCAACTCCAATGATGGAGTTTAGAAAATATTCATGTTGCATAAAATAAACATAACAAAAATAGTCAGCGTTACTTTATAGACAAGTTCTTGTCACACTGCTTTTATATAATATTTCATATAATTACTTACAATTACATTTCTAATTACATTCTTTAAATGTTTAATAATCACTTAGTGGCATGCCATAAGTAGCCAAGTAAAGTCTCTTCAACAATGTTAAAGTAAACTCTGCAAGGCTCTTGCACTCTATGCAAAATAATACGTCCGTCTGTTCATCTTCCACCTCATAATCTTTGTATGCAAGTACGCTTGCGACAGCATTAAAATTGTAAGCAACATGAATTTGCACTTCAGTTTTGCTTTGCGTTGTGGAGCTGAGCCAAACACTGACGACGCCCTTAGCCTCCGCTCCCGCTCTGCCAGTGAACAATCTAAAAAAATGTAGTGACACAGACATTTTTTCCAGTAACGCACTAAAATATGTTGAATAACAGTATGCCGTCGTAGTTCTCCACGCAAGCTGCCTGCAAGCTTACGAATTTTTCTTCTTACTCATCTGAAACTCCTCGTACTAATTTTATTTCCATTGCTCCATTTCCTGCTCGTTTTCTTTATGTTCGCAACGTTGCAGATCCGGTGATGACGCTAATGCCCGGCCAGGAGCCAAACGTGGGCATGTTCATTGAGGAGCACAAAAAGCGTGCCGATGGTGACCCAAATGCACCGCCCTTCGATGACTTACGCAACTATGCTTATGAAGGTGGCGGCAGCACAGCCGGTTCGCTRAGTTCGCTGGCCTCTGGTGAGTACTTCAGTGAATTACTAAGTAAATTACAACTAAAAACACACATAAATATGCTTACAACAGTTCGTAATTTCGCATCGTTTAGTGTATATTTATTTTTGTTTTCTATACACTTATACATACATATTTTAATATACTCTTATATATAAGGCAGCACTTTTATGCTTTTGCACCCAATATTCGCTCCATTAGAACTCATTTAATTAATTAGCTAATAGATCAGATTAGAAATTAGTGCCAGTGCAACATGTACCCATACATATATGTATATAGGTAAAAATACAAAATTTTTTTTTTTTTTTTTTTTGATTAAAGCGAAATAGACTCTTTCAAAAGTATACAAATTACATCAAATGAATGTATTTGGTAGGAAAACCCCATTAAAAAATTCTCAACGAAAAATTTTAGGCATTTATTTAACTGCTTTTAGGTAGTAGAGCTAATTCAAAATGTAATCCAAACAGTGCCTGAGACTGCCACGGATTGTAATTTGAACGTAATTACAATATTCGGTATACAAAATTTAGTAGGAGAGCTTTGGCTCATAGACTTTTGTAATTTTTAATACGACATTCGCAAGTAAAAATGGTGAATATCTGATATGTGACGACTCCGGTTTCAAATAGACCCATTACTTTGTCGAACAGAGGATGTCTCGCTGACTTAAGAAATTATGTTCCTACAGTTTTGGTTTTTTTGATTTTCTAGAATACTTATCATCATCATTTCTGCAGTTGCTTTATACATTAGGTGCCAAAAGAAGCTCTGGATACCATGCATATTTTCTTAATCATCTTCCTCGGCACCTTGAATGTTGCCAATATCAATCGGTGGATACAGAAGGGAGAGWTCTTAGATCCGATGTGACTTCTCAATTGTCTACTCAGTCCGAAGTAGCACCTATTGGCAAGAATTATTCAGCGTTGTTTAGATGTTGACATTGTTGTTAGTGTTGATACTGCTTCCAAGGTAGATGAAGTTATCTACGACTTCGAAGTTATGATTGTGAAATATTGTGCTTTCTAGATTCAACTCTGTAGCTCAAACTATTTTCTCCATCAGTAGCTTTTATGAGTCACACCATAGAGAGACGCCTTTTATGAAACCTCGTTTGGTATCGAATGGATGGGAGAAATCCTTCCTGATCCTGACATAGCTTTTGATATTGCTCAACGTCAGTTTACACAGTCGTATTAGTTTWGCKGGGTTACAAAATTCAGACATCGCGGCATAAAGGCAGCTAATTTTCATACTGTCAAAAGCAGCTTTAAAATTGAGGAAGAGGTGGTGTGCCGATCTTTCGTTCACTGGCCTTTTCCAAGATTTTCTGCATGGTGAATGTCTGTTCATTTGTTGATTATCAGTTGTTGATCCAATCAGGTTGTTGACGGTTCATCGCTCGATAAAACTTTATATGCGATGTGAAGGAGGCTTGTCCCACGGTAGTCGGCAACCGATTTCATAATATTTATTGCATTTTAAACGRAAATATGGAGTACTGAGCCAATTTCCGGTTTATTAGTTAGTATAAATTCTATGAAGAATTCTCGAAAGACATATAATATAATGATATACATACGTATCAGAACTGAAACTATAGATATATTATAGACATAAATACTTACCTTGATCTAGATTAGCCACATGTACATGAACAGTGAGTAAGCTTGATTTCCAACATTCTAGTTCTCCAATTGCTAAAGCCCTGAACTATACATAAATAAGTATATAAATAACTATTGAGATACACAGTAGTAATCAGACACAATTACAAAGGACTATTTGATAGAAACGGTACCAATTTGCTAACTCTTTACATAAGGTGTATAATCCAACTTACTATTCAAATTTGTATTTACAAACTGTTAGCTAGCTAGTTTATATATAGTTCTTTTAGTGTGGCAATCCATTTGCATAATTCATGTTCAAAATATGTTTTCCATTTTAAAATTGCAGGACTGCGCTCCAATACTGCTGAATATTGGGTGTAAAAGTGAGCAAACAAATTTAAGTAGTTTTAAGAAAACCACCGACATGACAATAAATGCACAAAAAATATAAATACACAATGGCAATATTTATTATATTTCGATTATTATATTGATGTACCGAGTTAAGTATGTATGCAGACAAGGTTAAATAAAATGGACATATGGAAACTTTTTGTTTGAAAACAAACGAAAAGAATTTGTGGTGTCAAAAAATATATAGGATCGTTATTTTTCCAAAATTCGAAACCAGCGATGCTTCCTTCCAAAAAATCCTCTTWCTATGACATATTTTGGGGTTATCTAATCTAAATGGAATAGTACTCGCTTGGCGTTTAGAGCTACTGAATCTATAATGATTTATTTAGTTCGTATTAATTAGGATGGGTAAAAAAACAATGTTATTTTACCGTTTTATACTCTGAAAAATATCTTGAGAAACATCTCTAAGGAACGCCTTCTAGGCAAAGTCGTACGCCCAACAGTTTCTCTTTTTTTTCTTATTATCAGATAGGAAGTTTGCATATCGCATCCAAGTACTTCGAAAAATATTTCGTTTTGTAAATTTTGTAGAATGTTTTGTAGGGCTCATACTTGGAGAGCCTTTCTTGGAGATGTATATATATTCAGAAAACCTTTTCCGCTTATTTTTGGCTTTTGACCTACCCTAATATTTATATCATAAAGTATTTGACTTACACTACATGCAACACTTCCATCGTTTGATGATCTGTGACTTTTTCAATTTGCATACCTCACAATTAAAAAACTTCAGTTGTCTGTACCATATTCATTAATAAGGGTTGCTTTCAAAACTTGAAAAATGACGATTTATTTTAACTTAAAATAAGGCTACATATATATTTATATATTGTCGTAAAAATTTACCGCTTACGAGTTATCACTTCGTTTTTTGCATAGCCCAATTTTAGTGTCTTCCTATAACTTTGATAGGAGCGATATTGCCTTTTGATATAAATAAAAAGTAAAACATAAATATATATGGCTTTTTGGGCGAAAATCATAGCTCTGTTTGGAGAACAAAGTTCGACTTTATAAGGCTATCTTGAAGCCTAAATATATATATATAAATAAAAATTTATGTTTAGCAAGAAAATGTACCCTTTCTGTAGGAAAACTATTTGTTTTGGGTGTCRGTGTTTGCTTTATGGAAGTATACATACCCCTTTACATACCTTTCTATATTATATTYGTACCATATATCTGAGTGAGACATTCTACTGGGCATAGTTTTTTAGAAGAAAAATTGCACTTGCTTTACCCGCTAATAAATTATTTTACATTATTTCCACTACTTACTGCAGGCACTGATGATGAGGCGCACGAGTATGATTACTTGGGCTCGTGGGGGCCGCGCTTCGGCAAACTGGCCAACATGTACGGCGACGAAGTGAACGCTGCAGCTGCACACCCCGAATTAGGATTGTAAAAACACAGAGAACACAAAACGGAAAAAGCTCCATAAGTACGGCAGAAGCAGCGAAACACATTTGAGGATAAGGAAAACCAAACAAAGATAATGATAAAGAAGAAAGTGAAAATGAAAATGAAATATAAGGACCAAGAAGTAAAATATAAAGAGACAAAGATTTGAGTGGAAACTAAAATAAATTAAATTWAATATAAAATAGTGTAGTGCAACCAAAGATAGAAGTGAGAATAGAAATCTAATGTAGAGGAGAATGAAAGGAGCTCGCGAACACGATAACCAGCAAACTATGGAAAATTAAATTAACGGCGACAAAAATGGCATTTGTAAAAATATACTCATCCCCATACTAATTTTATATAAGACTACTACTGTACGCTAAATTTAGGCAGAGAGCAAGTTAAGAAAGGTAAATTAAAGACAAAAATATTTGCAGCATAGCAAGGTTCTTTAATAAGGGGCAAGAAGCAGGCCGGGTTGCAATACTAAGCTGTTCAACTTGCGGGCACGAAATATAAATGTTAATGAAACCAAAGTATTTAAATGTAAGGAGGTTAAAAAAAAAACAAACACATATGGAAACTGTAGACGAAAAAMAAAACAAAAACACATGAACATAAAATACTCATCATAGTTTTATAAGTACTGTATATTTCCTTTTTGATATTATTTATTACTATTATAATATAACTATTTAAGGCGTATACTTAAAATTTAGATTTAGTTAAAAGTTACACAGTGTACGTGGGTGCAGAGCAAGCAATTATGCAACAGTGGGAGGCAAGAACAGTTGCAGATTGCGCCCTAACGCTTCAAAAGTAGAAGCTGAAGGGGGATGTGAGATATATAACAAATTACTATTGTCAAAAAGATAATGCTGTGGYACGCATACATATTTAGTAGTTATAGCATTTTTAACAAGAAACCACAACTAGAGGATCAATTCAACGCAACGACAAGCAGTTTTAGGCCGGAATTGAGTTAAATTTTTGCATTGCGTGTTAAAACGTATATACAAGTTATTGTATGTATACATATATATTAGAAAGTGACTGTTGAGCAAACATTGATAAAGATATAGTATCTTGTTGAAATATCTCAATTTTAGGGAAATTAAATATTTCGAGAGATCAAAACTATGTTTTGAGCGCAACTACCGACACACTCGTAAAGTATATACAAAAAGTTCATTGTATATGTATACATGTTATTATGTTTGCTGAGAGTGAAGTCGAAATTACTAAATTTTTTATGAAGTCAAATCTTGAGTTATCAGACCTTATACTATTACATTCTGCGTTTTCGAAAAAGAATACTGCCAGCCAAAAGTTTCGCAGGCGCACTTGATATTAAGTTGGATTAAAAATTTTCTAAAATACTGCTTTACATTCAGCCATAATACATATTCGGTTATTTCATGTGCCTAAACTTTTCTTTGCTGCCAAACCTTCGAGTATAGCGTATCGAACAAGCAACTGGTATAATTCATATAAAGTAGCATAACTAAATATGCTTAAGAATTGTTTTTAAGTAGTAGTACAATTTTCAAAATTTTTCAACAAAGAATAGCGAATCGAACAAGCAACTGGCATAAAACATGCATACTGATTATTCTTAGAGTGATTGTAGCTGTTGAGGYGTTCTGCATTTGTTTGCATTTCTGCGTCAAGAGACCGCAAAGAATAGTGTTACACAAAGTGGTATAACTCACATTTACTGGCATTATTGCACAGTTGTAATACCACTTAAAGTATATGCAAAATTTATGAGTTCGAAGTATTTTCACTAGTAAAATTTTAAAGAGAGCAGCACTCAAAAATAATACACCCTAATTGAAGGCGGCAATATTTTGCTAATTACTGYTTTATAAGAAACTTTCTTGTAGGTCGCGTTTATCACAGCTTGTTATTATTTATGCTTTAAGTTCTACACACACAGCACTTTCAGGCCAAAAGACACAAAATGTACCCACAAACACACACTCAAAGACACCCTTATATATACATGTTGTATATGTAACTAACCGTATGTTTACGAGAAATAAAGAAAATCAACAAAAAATGCAAATTAGGCGAAATGAGTTAATGTTGAGCGTAAGTGAAAATGTGTGTATGCATTAAAATTAATTAATTATTACTTTACTTTTTATGTAGAAGTAATTGTATCAATTAAAGCGTATAATTATAAACAAAAATTAATAAAATGAATGAAAATTTAAATTTAAAGTAAAATGAATACCCAAAGACTGTTTTCGTTCCATCAATAATGTGAAAGTGAACAACACGCATACATGCATACTTAACTTTARTTAATTATAGAAACTGGGCTGAAAAGTTGTACTATTTGAATAAGTAAATATACAAAAAACAAAAATAAATAAATGAAAAAATTATAAATTTGTGGAAATTACAAAAATTAAAAACTTCTTCTTTTTTACACAACAAAAACAAAAATCGTAGAAAATGTAGGAACAAAGTTTGGATAACTAAGCTTGTGTGTTGAGAGRGTAGCGGCTTTGGTAATCGGTGGTCTTAACCGACTCATATGGTGTTTTTCTTTATTTCAAGTCTTTATCGCGGTTTTTGAACCTAAGCTGCGCCTCTCAAACACAACTGCACAATCTATGGCAAACATCTTGCATCATAGTGGAAATATGAGCGTTGAATTATAATAGCAAAACAAGAACAAAAAAAAAAAAACTAAAAATCTCCTTCATACTAACAAATCACTAACACAAACCTAATTAAGCAAATTCGCATAGCAGAGGAACATTTAATTAGACAAACTTGTATTACGAAAATGATTAAAAGCAAAAGTGTAAAACCAACTAATTAACGCAAAACAATGAAWATGTAAACGTAAAAATTACCTTTAGGTGAACTTAGCGCAATTGAAGTAATGAATAATTGAATAATGAAGTAAAAATGATGATTATGATGAAAACGTAAAAGCATATTTATATATAAACAAACGAATGCAATTAACAAGGAGGTGCATATGTATGTGTTGAAATTGATTTCACAAAACTGGCAGACACTGTAAATAGTTTTAGCATGTAATGGACGCAAGAGCCGCAGGCAGCCAAGACAAGAGGCGCTGTCTGCTTGTGTTCGGCACTAGTGTATTATGACGTAATTGAAATAGTGTTTGAGTATAATAAGCAGCAAAATATGAAAAACTAATGGTTTTAAATAGGTCACACGTAAACCAAAAGGAAAAAAAAATATTACAAAATAAATAAAATAAGCAGAAGATATTAAAAAAAAAAACAGTATTTATATGTTTAAAAGTAAAAGTAAATTAAATAGATTTTAGTAAAAATGGGGAGACAAAATCTAGAAATTAAAGTACATTTAATTAAAAAGAAAGCAACACAATATCTTACTAAACGGGYGCAACTACATGGCGCAATACTGTTGAAACGGCAAGCCATGTACAAGGCGGCACGTTTATATAATGAGATTATTCATGAATTAAAAAATAGCACGATAAACACATTTAACAATAACACCATGCTAATAARAAGGTAAATTAATACAAACACACACATAACAATAGACAAAAAGTAGTAACAAATAATAACAACAAAAAGAAATTAGTATAAAGAATTTATTAAAATACAGTTGAGCTCGTGCTTAAAAGTGAAAGCACTTTCAGTTGAAAATCACATRCTCGGAGAAAAAGCAAGAAAAGCCTGTAAAACTAAAAAAGTAAAAATTCAGTTGAAAACCCTGTTTATTAAAAGGCTATAAATGCTGAGAATTGAAACGAATACGAAGAAGCTGAGTTGATATGTTTCAACTWAAAAATTACACGAATTCCGTTTAAACGATGTTTTTTTTTTAATTTTTTATATTTTTTGTAAGCAAATAAATATAATTTTTTTAACTTGCAATTTTTATCATTTAATACAACAAAGAAAATTATTTAACAATTTATTTA